AGGAGGAGGAGGAGGAGGACGAGGAGGAGTGAACGCACCTTGAGGCGGCCACGTCTGTCAGCCCAGCCCACGCGCAAGCCTGCCTAGATAGTGAGGCAAGGCGTGAGACGGCGGACAGCGGCTCAACGCCACAGGAGTGATTTCGCTGCGGCCATCGCTGCAGCAATATCTGCTGGCGACGGCGCTGCGTGTAGCTTCATTTTGTTGTACATGTGGAAAGCAAGCGCAACCCTGCGAATCGTCTGCCGCAACGAGAGGTCGCTGGCAGGTTCGGAAGGGCACGCTGCTGCAGGGCCTAAGCCCCACGATGTATATGCGCTAAGGAGCGGAGCGGGGTCGGGGGACCAGAGGAGGCTCAGGAGGACGGAGCAGGAGAGGTAGTGGGGAAAAGAATCGGGTGCATTCGGGCAACCGAATACACACGAGCGCTGAGCTAGTACATGCATGCGGTGCGTGGTCGTCCACCCGCCACTGAGCGTTTTGAAAACCGCCCAGCGCCAGCTGGGGTGGACCTCTCCAAGCGCTTTTGCGAGAGTGGCCCAGCGGGTGGCGAGCTCTGGGGGCGGCGGCGTACTCTGAAGGCCCCACGCTGCAAGGCGTTTCGTGAGAGTGACTGTGAACGGCGAAGAGAAAAAGGCACGCTGCAGCGCGAGTGCGACCGCCCTCTGTACCTTCGGGCGACGCGGCGGGTCGGCGTCGGGTGCCTCTCGAATTTCAGCTCGTGCGGCACGGTTCGCCAGGGCCACGGCTGCTGCGGTAAATGGCGAGACGCGCTGCCCGCTAGACAGGGCATGGTATAATTGCACGATGGACGAGGCCTCTTCCCAGAAGGGGGGGGGGGCCAGCGCCCAGCTCCCCACCGAGGGAAGGATTGGATCGTGCTCTCCTCCCAGGCGGTGTCTCGCAGGCGGTGGAGGAACGGTTCCCATTCCCCACTGAGTGTGAAAGTGGCTGTACGAATGGCCGCCGCGGCACATGTGACTTGGGCTGAACGAAGGACAGGTGGCGGGCTCCATTCCGCCATCGAAATGAGATCTACCTTACGAAAAGAGTTGGGCGGCATGCTGAGCATTTTGTGGAAGACATACAGTTCACGGCGAGCAATCTTGGAGTCGAGCGGGAAGAACTGAGCAACGTAGCCGAGCGTGGACAGGACAGAAGTGTTATACAGGCGGACAGTGGCGTCACTGCCAGACTGGACAATATTTAGCAAATTACTGCGCTGCCACCACTTTTGCCCTGGGGCGAGCCATTGAAGGGCAAGAGAGGAGGAAGGTCCAAGGAAGGTCCCGAGGTACTTGGCTCGCCCCGAAATCGTGAAGCCACCCCAGGAAGGGCAAAGGTCGGCCAGGAGCGCTTTCGTTTGGGCTGTGGTGGCAGGAGAGACAGGCGCCCACAGGGGCACTATTACACACTTGCGTGGTTTGAGGGCGAGAAGGGCGAGCTCCTCGGCGGCAGAAAAAGGCTCAGATGCCTTGCGCAGCGTGTCGAACGAGAATGTGAGCAGGCTGGTGTCGCCCGCACAGGCCCCGAGGTAGCCTTTGTCGAAGTCGGGCGTGCCGTCGGGGTGCTCGATGAAGGAGGCGAGGTGGCGGACGAGCGGGTCCATCGCGATGGCCCAAGCAGAGCCACTGGCGGGACAGCCCTGAGCGACGCCCGACTCGATGGCGAACATGAAGTGGCGGATCCCGCCGACCTTGAGGAAGCTGTTCGGCGCGTGGTACATGTTGCGGAAGAGGCTCATGAGGCCGATGGGAACCCCGAAGCGCTCGAGAGCCGCGAAGAGCCAGACCCGACCCAAAGACGGGAACGCCGCCGCGAAGTCGAAGCTGGTGAAGACAGGATGGCAACCAGCAGCATCTGGACGTATCCCAGCGCGGCGCATTTCGGCGTCAAGAATGACAATGTGCTTGGTGAAGTTGCGGCCGACTACGAAACCCTGTTGTGCCTTGTGAGTCCGCTCTGCCACAGCGGGTTTGAGGAGAAAGTTGGTGGCGCCAGCGATGGCCTTGATATCAGTGTTCTTGAGCGAGAGCGGGCGCGTGTCCTCGGGCGCCCTGTCGGTTTGCAACTCGCCGACGAGGTTGTCCCCTTTCGGCAGGAAGGCGAAGTCAGAGTCGTTCAGGTCGTGGTTGAAATTGGCGTTCGAGCAGAGGTGGAACGAGAGGTCCTCGAGCAGGTCCAGCGACGAGTCGCGTGCGAGCCAGGCGCGATAAGGAAGGCAATCAGGACCAGGAGCCGACGGAGAGGTGCGAGCCAAGAAGGCGCGGATCTGCATCTTGGTCGGCGCGCCCACGTCGATGGTGGCCCCCAGCGGCATGTGCTCGGCGATGCACTGCTTGACCTTGACGGAGTCGACGAGCTTGTGTGCGAAGACGGGCTTCCAGTAGGTGCGAAGGGCGTCCGCCATATCGCAGCTCTCTCTGGCGACCCCAGGGGGGCCATCTGGGCCCGAGATTTTGACGCCCTGGAGGGCCAGACGACGCTTCCAAGGGGCCCAAAGGAGAGCCCGCCTCTGCGAGGCGCGCAAGATTCGGCTGAGTTTCTCGGGCTCGGGGGCCCCTGCCGCACCAGGGGGGCGCTGGGCCGCTCTTTGCGCCAGAGAGCGTTGCCGAGCCTCGAAGTCGCGGTGGAGCGAGGCTGAAATGTCAGCGAACTCGGGCTGGTTGATGATCGTGATGAGGCCGTCGGTGATCGAGAGGTACTTGGCGCCAAGCTCGGTGGTGGACTGTAGGCGGCGAGCGAGAGCAACATCCTGGCGCCAGACCGAGCGCGAGATCGAGCGCGCCGTGAGGACCCGTCCGTCGGCATGGTTGGATTTGTTGCCGTCCCCGATGGAGCTGACCCAGCCGTCGCGGACGAGCCTCGCGGCTTCGACCATGAGGCGCTTGTGCGTGCGCCAGCGGTTCTGGATGGGGACGTGCTGGGTCTTGGTGTGGGTGATCAATTGGTCCAGGTACTTGGCGTAGCTCGGGTCGCGGAAGATCGGCGGGGGGGAAAGCCTGAGCGTTCGTCGGCGTGCGCGGCTTGATGCCAATGGTGTAGGAGATGATCGCATGGTCGCTGAGGAAGGAGTCGGACAGGATGGCAGGGTCGTGTACAATGTTGATCTGCGATGTGAGCTCGAGCATGGCATGGGACGGCAAGCGGATGAAAACGCGGTCGATCGCTGAGGCGGAGAAGTCGGACTTGTTGAAGCGGGTCGGTAAGTCGGATTCAATTTCGAGCATGGAACCGAAGAGTGCTTTCCAGAAAAGCTGCTGCTGACGGGCGCTGTTGTCCAGCGCAAGGCGCGCGTGCTGAGGCCGGGGCTGCAGGAAGCTGTTCGGTGGGCGGCTGGCAGTGTTGAAGTCACCCATGGCGATGAAGGCGCGGCGCTGGTAGTCGACCTCGGCCCAGGTGCGATGCTGATGCCAGGCACGTTGCACTCGGACGCGGTCGCGAGCATCGATCTCATGGTTATGGACATTCATGATGACGATGGAGTTGTTCGTGACGGCACTGGTGATGGAGACAGTCTGGATGCGGCCCTTGACGACCTCCTCGTGGGCGAAGGTAGGCAGTTGGTGCGGAGCAAGCTGCTCGAGCTGCATTGGCGTGGGCCAGGGCGCTAGCGTAGCAACGCCACCAGTGCCAGGGCGGGCCTCGGCGTCATCGTCGCCGACGAACTCGGAGAAGAAGAGCTCGTACGGGTACGGCTGCGTGTCCACCCACGTGCGGAGCAGGGCCTCAGAGCCATGAACCTCCTGGATGAGGATGACGCATTGGCGGCGCATGTACTTCAGCAGGGCAGCCTGTTTGCGTCGGCGGCGCTGGCGCTTGTGACGCATGAGGGCTCTGGCATTCCAAGTAATGAAGGTGCCGGGGACGGAGTCCTCGTTCGGTCGCCAAGGCGACCAGGGATGGTTAAACCCGCCACGTTGCTGACGCAGTGTCCGCGAAGAGCGCCTGGAACGCAGTGAGGACGCCGCCGCGATCCACTTCGTTGAAGTGATGGCCTTCGAACGCGTGCTCGTTCCACTCGAGGATGGTGGGGTCGGCCTGGCCCTTGACGTCGAGGCGTGCAACAGGCATGGCGTTGCAATGGATCTCGCCCTTGGTGCGGATGGCTCTCCATGGCTTGTCGGGGTAACGATGCTGGAGCACTTGCAGGAGCTTCTTGCACTGGATCTCGGTGCGGATCTGCTTGGGGGACTTGTCGGGATTGAGGTAGATATCCACTCGGGCACCTGTCGTGTCGGTGGAAACAAAGCGCTTCCACCTGCCAGCGGGATCTCGTAGGGCACGTGAAAGAGCGAGAGCTCGCGGGATTGCGGCTGCACGATCTCCTTTGACTTGAAGAAGGAAGCGTCTGGACGGCTCGTCCCCCAGCAACTCCACGGCGTTGCGGTCAACGTTGGCGGAGGCGATCCACTCCTGCAGGTCGTTGAGCAGAATGTCGGGCGCGATGAGGCGCTGGCAGCCGATGGAGAAGATGGTCGGGTCGGGGGCGCGGTCCCAGTCAGCAAGCTTGGTGAGGTCCGTGATGGGCGCCTGAGCTTCAGCGAGCGCGAGCGTGTCGCGCCTCCGGTCGATATGCTGCCACATCTTTTTCTGCTCGTCGGCTTGTCGGTCTTGTTCACGGCGGGTGCGTGCGACGGCATCATGTAGAACATCCACTCGGCGTTCGGTAGCAATGACTTGTTGTGCGAGAATTTGGCGAAAGCTTTCACGTGATTCATTGAGAAGAGCGTTGGCCTGGGCTTGGAGGGTGGCGGCAGCGTGTTCGACTTGAGTCTGCATGACTTGTTGAAGAGCAGCTTCGACATCAGGAGGCAAGCCTGGGATGCTTGGGATCGATCCAGGCGTGGCAGTACCTCCAGCAGCTTCGACTGAGGCTGGTATGTCCCAACCATGAGGGACGGCGGCGGTTCCGACGGCGGACGAGCGTCCAGCGGAGGAGGAGGAGGAGGAGGAGGAGGAGGAGGAGGAGGAGGAGGAGGAGGAGGAGGAGGAGGAGCCTGTGCCCTGCGAGGGCGCCCACGGCGCGGTGCGCCTCGGGCGTCGCCCTCGGCGGCGCGAGGCCCTCGGAGGCTCTCTGAGGCCCGAGGGCCGCCGCGGCCGCGTGGCCCTCGCGGCCGTCGGCCGGGAGCGCCGCCCTCGTCGGCGGCGGCCTGGGCTCTCCGCGGGCGCCCGCGGCGGCGGCCGCCTCGGCCGCGGGGCCCGCCAGGCTCAGGCCGTTGCGGATGCCCGCCTGCTGCACGGCGGCGCCCTCGGAGCCTGGGCCCAGCACGCGCCTGCCGGAGGGGAGACGGCGACGACGGCGGCGACGGCGACGGCGACGACGGCGACGACGGCGACGACGGCGAAAGCGGCGGCGGCGGCGGCGGCGACGCGATGGGAACGGCAACGCCGGCGACCGCGAAGACGGCAACGCCGACGGCAACGCCGACGCCGACGGCGACGAAGCCGCTGGCGGCAGCGAGGGCGGGCGCCAGCTGGACGGCGCGGTCGTGGGGCGGACCGCCCGCGGAGGCGCCGACGGCTGGGCCGCGGCGCGGGCCGGCTCTGCGTCTGGGACCTGCCAGGGTCAGCTCGAGGGAAGGGGTGGGCGGCGGCGGCGGCAGGACGGCGGCGCCGGGGGGGGGGAGGGCGGGGGGAAGGGAGGGGAGGGAGGCAAGCTAGGTGCGCTCGCGTCAAGTCCGACATCCTACCCCTCCATCCCATCCATTACCATAGCTGAGCTCCTTTCTATTCGAACAGTCAGATGTCGCAGCGTGGCATAGCATTACATGGCATAGCATGGGTTGGAAGGGGAAGGAAGGAGAGGAGCAGGACGGGAGTTGGCGGTGGGGTGGGATAGCAGGGGTGGTCGCAACAGTGTGGACGACAGGTCGTCCAGGCCCCCGGGCAGCACGTGCCAAGCAGGCCTTCCTGGCAAAGCGGGAAACACCGCATATGGAACAGGGGTGGTGGGATAACCTCTCTCCTTGCGCGGGCTAGAAGGGTCCCCGTCTGGAACATGATCGACCCACGAACCCGGAAAGGACTCAAAAAACGCGAGGCATGGTTACGTTTTCAAGACACCTGATTGGGCGACAAACGAATGCAATGCTGGAGGTATCGATAGTGATGCACCGTGCCCAGGATTGTGCCGTGCTGTGCCGTGCTGAAGCCAGATGTGCCATGCCACAATGAAGCGCGTTGTGCCCTATAACCTTGTGGATCAAGTCGCCATTGGCATCCAGCTTCTGACCGAACTGATCTACATATTAAGCTCGAGCTGCCTGCACGCGTACCTGGCCCAAAACTGGTTGCAATCGGAACGTGTGGGACGCTCAATCAGCTCGAACTCAAGATCCGACTTAGTCCCGACACTGGACGAGACGACACGGGACAGAGGGAGCATGGACGCGCCACGGAATCTGCCAGGGGCGCACTAGGGGATGCACCAAAGGACGTTTCAGGGGACGTGGCAAGGGACGCGCCACGGAACGGGCAGGGAAAGCGCCAGGGAACAAGCCAGGAAATGCGACAGAGGACGAACCAGGGGACGTGACGAGGGGGGGGGGCACATACGCCGTCCCGCTCTGGAGCGTCAGGAACCCATGTGTGTTCACGCTTGTCCCGCTCTGGAGCATTAGGAACCCACGTTTTTGCACATGTCCAGGCCACCCAAGGACGGATATCTAACATATGGTTGTGAAAATCCATGTCGTGCGTGAGACGATGAACGCCACAAAGAATCAAAGGAGGTCAGAACTACCTCACTAATAGTTCCTTGTTTGTTCGTAGAAGTAATTGAAATAAAAACGCACATGTATACCGAATGTTCCTGGTAGTTCTCGGCGACCCGTAGATGTGAGTATCGAAGAAGGCCTGTGGTGCCGCAACACCGCGCCAATTCACTGCGAATGTTCGCACTCACCGCCTGGGCAAATCGCAGCGTCGCGAAAACGAGAATCCCGCAACGAAAATAACTGCGCCGAAAACAGGTCTGATCGCACGCGGGCAAGACCGCAAGGATAGCAGATCTAGCAGAAGTGCCACGTACAGCGCGAGCATGATCCACTGCGGCTGGAAGGGAGTGAAGGGGGCGGAGGGGAAGAGGAGGACAAAGACGGCGAAGGAGCGGGAGAGAGAGAGAATGGAGGAAGAGGAGCGAGCGGAGAGCAGAAGAAGGACAGCACGTGAGGGCGAAGGAAGCGAGGACCATGAACGGAGCCGAAGTAGGAGGGCAATGCGAACGAGATGACGGAAGGGTTGATGGGGAACGGGTGGGGGAGGGGAGGATGGCGGAAAAGGGCGGAGGGCGGCGAAGAGGTGCGGGGGGCACAAGAGGGGAAGGCGATGGAAAGAAGGGGGTGGGGACGGGACCCCACGCCCCGCACCCTCCGAAGGAAAGCCCCGTGGACGCACCAAGGCGCCCAAGCGATGCCCCAAGAATCTCCAGCGAGGACCCAAGAGACTCAGAAGTGACACACTCAAGGCCCTGCAACTTCCAGGCGGTCTGCGAGAGATCCCCCATGAGACCCTTGCGCGCGACCCCTCACGAGGCCCCACGACCGCAGACCAATCGCGGACTACGTCTTGGGACCAAGATGAGCGAGAACGTCTCAAGCGAAACGGGCTAAAGCAACTCAATTCTGGGCATCTCGCAGTAGCCTGGGGTTCGGAGCATGTCTCAGGCGAAACGGGCCTGAGTACCTTGCGAACCACATCTCGGACCCCCTCCCCCGCGGCGATGCTCGAGAATCTCCCTCGCGGCCAGCCTGTAGGCTGCGAGGGAGTTTCTGAAAATGGCCTCCATCTCCCCCTCTACCTCCCCCCATCCTCAAGTAGAACCGCGCGCGCGCTTCGCGCGCGCTTGGGTTCTAGCGCATGCCATGGCGTTATAGCTGTGCGTGCTTTTCGGACGGGCTCATTCCATGCCTTGCGATACCTCGTCCTCCAATATTTCTTATACGTCCTTCCTCGTTAACCCTCCAGTCTCTCTGGGTTGTCCTCGGTGTTCGTTTCTCGTTCTTATCGACGGCCTCCTCTTGCTTGGGATTATGGGGGGCTTCGAGCTGTTCAGGGCCGGCGTGGGGAGATATTGAATATGAAGTGGACTGGCTTGAAGTGTACGTGCCTCTTGTGGATCTTCCAGTTTGGGCTGCCTTGAAAGCCTTGGGGCCCGCTTGGGGCCCTATTGGGTTCTTCTTCAAAGTTGTGGGGCCGTTTCGAGCCTCAGCGCCGTGTGAAGATCTCCCGAAGCCATCCGAAGAAGACGAGCGTGAGCTTTACTGAATATGGAGAAACCTGAATGGTTGTTGCGTTTATGGCTCTCTGGGGTCATTTGGGAGGGTCTTTGGGAGCTCCACTGGGGCATTTTGTGGCCCCTGGAGGCCGCTTTGAAACATCTTGGAGCGTCTTGGACCACTAAGGGGCCATCTTGGCGGCCAGCGGGCGTCCTCCTGAACCAGCTCGGAACCCTCTTCAAGCCGAAAGAATCACCCAAAGACTCCAAAGCGGATCCTGGAGCAAAGGGGGGGCCGATTGGGTTGCGACGGCGGGATCGAGACTGGCGCAGGCGGCGAGACCCACTCGGCAGGGCCCTCAGGGGGCACCGCTGGGCCGCAGGCCCACTGCCGATCGGCGACGTCCCGCAGGATGATGGTCAGAGTGGCCAGAAGGACCCCGATCAGCGACTGCATTCGGTGTCAGAAAACCCTCGAGCCAGGATGACTTCGGAGCAACACCAATGAGGATCGATGAGTCCGACACCCCCAACCCCCGCTAAGTCATTCCTGTGCGCGCACCACCATGGGCCTCTTCGGGCTCTCTCGGGACCCCTCTCGGAGCTCTCTTGGGGCCTCTTGGAGGGCTCTTGGGCTGTGTGTTGGCTGTGTTAGGCCCATCTGGGACCACGTTGGGGCCATCAGGGCCGTCTGGGAGCGCCTTGGGGCCTCCCGCTCCCGCTCTGGGGCCCAGCTTGGGCCTGTCCTGGGGCTCTCTTGGGCCGTCCGAGAATCGTCCCAAGCAATTTTCGGGCTCCCTGGGGCGATCTTGGGGCTCTGCTGGGAGCCTCTTCGGCGGGTTGGGGGCGGACTTGGGGGCGTCGTCGGCCGTCGTGGGGCGTCGGAAAATCGAAAACACGAGACACCGAGACACATCGAAAAACACATGAAAATCAAAGGTTTCGGCCTCTTGGGGCTCTCTCGGGACGCCTCTCGGAGGTCCCTTGAGGCTTCTTGGAGGCCTCTTGGGCTGTGTATTTGCGGTCTGGAGCCCATCTGGGGCCACGTTGGGGTATCTGGGCTGTCTTGGAGGGGTTTGTCGAAGTCCCCCGGGGGCTTCTGGGAGGGTCTGAGAACTCTCTGGGGCAATCTGGGGGCTCCACGGCCCCTCCGGATGCTCTGGGAGCGATCTCCGAGGCCCCGGTCCCCACATGCCCCCTCCGGGTCGCGGCCCCAGGCTCCCCGGCCTCGTGCGCGGGGAGGCGGCACGCAACGCCAGGCAACGTCCATCTCCACAGCTGCTGGAGCCCGACCCCTAGATCCCAGGGGAACGGTGCGTACGGATGCGCTCCCTCCCTCCGAGCTCCACGGCGGGCGGACCTCCATACTCACCTCAAGAGGCCCCCCTGTGCTCCCGGGGCACGACTCCGATGCGGCAGATATGAGCGTGCTCTGCCGGGGGAAAGGAGAGGCAGCCTGCTCGCCAGATTTCTGCGGGTCGGGCGAGGCGTCCGCGTCCGCCGATTCCGCCGCAAGCCCACGGCGCTGCAAGAACCTGTGGGGGCGCCGCCGAGCGGGGCGGGCCCCGTCGGACTGGGGCTCTTCCCGCGCAGGCCAGAGTGCGCGAACAAAAACCAAGCAGGGGTGGGGAGAAGGGGCAGACTGGAATGGGCACGGGGAGAAATGGAAAAATGATTCGTGGGACAGAAACCAGGAGGCCGGGGGAGCGGGGCTAAGCGCACAAGTTAGCATGGAGAAAGGGGACGGGAGAGGAAGGGGAAGTGATTCACTGGGGGGAGCCAGGGGTAGAGGGAGAAATGAAAAAACATCGCCGACCATCCACTTCACAAATTGCTAGATTTGCTTACCTTGCACCTTGCAAGAAACGGAGACTGCTGATGCAGATGCTGTTGCTCCTCGTCGCACCAGCGGGCGTGTCCGTTTGCCACTGTGCCTGCACGATGTGGGCGCGTGAACATGCCAGGTGTGGCACTGTAGGGCTTCTGTGTTATAATGGGGGACCCCTCCCCTCGCTCAAGAGTGCTGCGTACACCCCCCTCCTCCCGAGTCTACGATCTCTTGAACAAAAGCTATGGATTTGCCCCCCCGCCCCCCCGAGGCCACGGCCCTTTGTTTAAACAGATATATTCGCGCCCCGAGCTTCCAAGACGGCCCCTGCAGGCAACCAAGGACACCAAGATAGCCCAAGACATCTCGAAGACGGGCCAAGATGGCCCCAAAGCGACGTGTGAGGGGCGCGCCGAAATGGTGGACATGCGGAAAGCAGAGGCAGGGATGGGAAGAGGGAGGATCGGGGAGGAGGAGAGGAACGCGGGGCGCTTTCTCTTCAAAACGAAAGCCCAATAACACAGGATGGTGGGAAGGAGAGAAGAGAGAGAGAGAGAGAGAGAGAGAGAGAGAGAAAAAACATGATCGACCCACGAACACGGGAAGGAATTTAAAGGAATTTGGAAACGCGAGGCATGGCTACGTTTCAGGACACCTGATTGGGCGCCAAGCAAGTGCAGTACTGAAATTGTCACTCGTGATGTATCATGCCAAAGATTGTGCTGTGTTGTACCGTGCGGAAGTGACATTCATTATGCCGCGAAGAACTGCGTTGTGTTCTATAGTGTTGTGGACCAAGTCGCCTTTGGCATCCGAATCCTGACCGAACTGGTCTGGATCTTAAGCTCGAGCTACCTGAGCGCATGACGGGCCCAGAGCTGGTTGCAATCGAAACGTGTGGGACGCTCAATCAGCTCGAGCTCAGGACCCGACTCAATTCCGAAGCGGCACGAGACGACACAGGGCGCAAGGCACATGGGACGCGCGCCACGGAACGTGCCAAGGGCGCACTTGAGGATGCACCAGGGGGCGTGTCAAGGGACGTGGCAAGGGACGCACCACGGAACAGGCAGGGAAAGCGCCAGGGGACAAGCCAGGGAACGCGACAGAGGACGAACTAAAGGACGCGCCAAGGGGGGAGGGGCATACGCCGTCCCGCAGTGAGGCGTTAGGAACCACGTGATTTCATGCTTGTCACTCGGACGTTAGGAACCAATGTGTTGTTACCCTGGTTCCACTCTGGGGCGGCCGGAACCCATGTGATTTCACGCTTGTCCCGCTCGGGGGGCGTTAAGAACCTATGTGGTTTCACGCTTGTCCGTTTGTCCCGCTCTGGGGCGCTGGCTCCGCCCGGGGACTTTCGGAACCTGCGTGTTTTCACGTTTGTCCCACTCTGGGGCGTTAGGAACCCACGTGGTTTCACGTTTGCTCCACTCTGGGGCACTAGAAACCCACATGTGTTCACGTTTGTCCCGCTCTGGGGCGTTAAGAACCGACTTGTTTTCACGCATGTCCCGCTCTGGGGCATTAGGCCCACATGTGTTGTCACGCTTGTCCCGCTCTGGGGCGGTAGTGTTTTCACGCTTGTCCGACTCTGGGGCGTTATGAACCGTGTGATGTCTCGTTTATCCCGCTCTGGGACGTTAGGAACCAATGTGTCATGTTGTCACGCTCCCAGAGCCACGATCTCTCGAAAATGGCATCCCCACCGCACTTCCAGAACCACCTGGGCATCCTGGGGCGCCCAAGCCTTTCAAGCGCTTAACATAAGGGTTTGACATCTTCATATGTTCGGCACGCAGGGCGCGCCATCCTCGAACGGGCATGCAAAGAGCCACCATTCCTTCTGCAAAACTAGCGCGGGGCTCGAGGCATCCTCGAGAAACCTGCGCGCATGGCGCGCCGTCCTCGAGCAGACGCGCAACAACTGAGCATTCTGCCATTTGATGTGAAATTCTAAATTCTTCTAACATTTAGATTGCTCGAAGATTCTGCGCACAAAAACACTTCGCACCCTCTTTTTCACGAAGGACGGCAGGGGTCTGCGGACCCACTCATTCATCGCGGATCCGAAATGGGGGAGGGCGCGCACTTTTCTCGAGCGGGCGTGCGCGAAACGCAGTAAGCAACCATACTTAGACGTTACATAACTTTTCATCGCAAGTCAGTTCGCCAACCCTTGCGCAACGTGGCAAAAAGGGTTATACAACTAAATGGAAAGCCTAAGTGTCTGCCTTTTTTCCGGGAAAAAGAACAGGGGAGAGAGAGAGAGAGAGAGAGAGAGACAGACAGACAGACAGACAAACAGACAGACAGACAGACAGACTGACTGACAGACAGACAGACAGGCAGACAGACAGACAGACAAATAGACAGACAGACAGACTGACTGACAGACAGACAGACAGGCAGACAGACATATCGACAGACAGACAGACTCTCACTCTCTCTCTCTCGGGTTCCCACGTCGCCGGGGCGCCCCCCAGCCACGCCTCGAGGGCGCGCCCCAGCCGCGCCTGGGGGACGAGGGCCATGACGCGGAGGAGCGCGCCGCTGTCCGGGGCCAAAAAAATGAGGGAGAAGAGGAAGGGAAGAGCGAGACTGCCGGGCAGAAGGCTCGCCGCGCCCCGTCGCGCAACACTGCGCCGACAGACAGGCAGGCCCGCCGCGCCCTGCTCTGCTCCGCCCGGCAGCGCGCGCCCTGGCCAGCGGCCGTCGCGAAGCCCACGCCGCCCGCCGGCGAGGGGCCCGTGCTGGCTCGCCGCCTGCGCTGCAGCTTCTGGCGCCATTGCGGCTGGCGCTGCGGCGCACGCAGCGCGGCGGCCTCAGGCGTCGTCGCCAGAAGCCCTCAGGCGCGCCAGCGCAAGCCCGCGGCGGCGCGCGGGGCCGTCGTCCCCCGCGCCGCCGCGCGCCGCTCGCCACCTGCGCCTCGAAGGAGGCCCGCCGAGGAGCGCGGTTGGCGCGCGAGCTCGCTCTGCAGCCCGCAGCTGAGCACCCGGTGGGCGCGGGTCAGCTCGCGCCGCTGGTCCTGCTCGTCCTGCCTGTTCGCTTCGGCCTTCAGCTAGAAGCGGGCCTCTGCGCCCAGTCCCCCTCCGATCTCGAGGACGCAGGGAACCAGGCGTTCGCCTGGGTAACGCGAATGCTTGTCGCGTTCCGCCCTCCTGCTGGCCTCGCCATCCCGGCGAGCTGCCACGCGGACTTCGGCCTGTGTTCCCGCGGCCGGGTGCCGAACCGTGACGTCGAGCGCCCGTCGTCGTCCTGGTATTCTAGGTCGAGCACCGCGCTCTCCGTTTCCCGGCCCGGCGGCTGCCTGTCCCACTCAGGGACGCGCTGTTCGAAGAGAGGCTGTTCGTGTCGCCACCATCGCAGCAGTCTTCCGAGCCGGCGCGCGAGCCGCGCGTGCCTGCGCACGACGCCGCCGCCGTTCTGGCAGGTGGCACCGTGGTAGCCTCGGCCGTCCAGGGGGCGCCCGCAGGGCTGCCCGTTCGCGTTGCGCAAGCAGCAGGTCGCCACCGCCCCCGCGACTTCGCTGCGGCTGCAGGCGGGCCGCTCGAGGTGCAGCCAGCTGCGCGCTGCGGTTTCTCAGGGGGTGTCCTCCAGCGGGGAGTAGGGCGCATCCGTGGGGTAGTTGAGGAAGGCTCCAGCCCCTGGCCCCACCTGTCCACGTAGCTCAGATTGCTGTGGGAGGTGCAAACGTTGCAGGAGCGCAGCGTGCTTTGTCTTTTGCACCTTTTCCACTGCCAAGCCTTGCTTCAAAGGGGTGGCCAGGGCGTCCGCTAGCGTTCCGCCGTCGGCTAGCAGGAGTCCCTGTTGTTCGAGGCCGCTCCGCGCGGCCTCCAACTTGCTCGTCGCGTCTGGGAGCAAGTCAAGGCAGTCCGCCAGCGTGCTGCTGCCGAGGTCCCGCGTGACTTCGGCCGCCGCGCCTGCCCAGGAGGTCAGGAAGGCCGCGTGGCGCCGCGTCGTCGCCAGGTGCGCGCCCAGCCCGCCGAGCCTCGCAGGCAGCCCTAGCAGTTCTTTTGCGTTCTCGTCGAAGTCTCGCTGCAGCAGCATCTCCCAGCAGTTCGTCAAGAAGCCGTCGTAAGCGGCGGCGGCGTTCGTGGCGCGCTCCAGCCTGAGCGCGCGCTGGCTTGCGGCCCCCGCGTAGGTACGCAGCCGGGCCCCTGTGGCTTGCTTCGTCAGCCCCGCCTTCTGCAGGCGCTGCAGGGTGTCCCGGAGCTTGCGCAGGCGGTCCGCTAGCGGCCCGCGCGAGGCTGTTGGCCGGTGTTCCGAGGGCCGCTGGGCTGTCCTCCGTGTCGCCGCGAGGCCGCAGATGCCTGCCGACCACCGAGCGGGAGGCCGCGTAGTGGCGCTGCAGGGGCGGCGGCAGCACGGCGATCCCAGCAGACAGACAGACAGACAGACAGACAGACAGACAGACAGACAGACAGACAGACAGACAGACAGACAGACAGACAGACAGACAGACAGACAGAGAGTCTGATACAGAGAGCAGCTGGAATAGAGAGAGAGAGATCGCACAAAGCAGACAACCCATATTATGTAGTAGGTGGTACGTTGCACAGAGATTAGAACACCGTCGTAGAGAGGATGGGGCAGTGCACAGGATACAGAATGCAAGAAACCATCGAGTCGAGAGCAAAGAGTGAAGAGGCGAGTTTTGAGAGCAGAATATGGTGGGAGAGAGAGAGAGAGGGTGACGCGTGAGTGGTGGAAAGGAGAACTCAGATTACCGAGTGGAGATTAGAGTGTATATAATGGAGAGCATACACAATAGAGACTAGACAACAGAAGGTATAGATCAGAAAACACAGAGAACCACATACTCGACCCTCTGTTCTCGCTCACCGCCAGCGCGCTGCCGATTTTGTATTTCGCGCACGGACAGCTGCTTGCGTACTTCTCGTGCGAGCTTCCTTTGAACAGTAATATCAGCTGCACTGGTGGAGGGCGCTCGACTACAGTCAAAACCAATAGTAAGGATGCACAGTAAGGATGCAAGGCCCTTGAAACCTTTCGAATTGGACGTCCCTGGACGTGGAAAATGGCAAAGGATTGGCCGCAGAGGCAGGGATGAAAGGGTACCGCCCTTGCTGATGTACTGCTTCCCTACTATGGGCTTTGACTGTACATCAAAGCCTTTGATCACCAGAGAAGCGGAAGGTGCCAAACTAGAAGAAGAGCAAACTGAATAAACAGTAACGTTTGGAGGTCTGGGTGGATTTCTGGGATCAGCGCTGGGCCACCGCGCGCCAGGTGCGGCGCCTATGGGGGGCCCCAGCCGATCCAGCAAAATCTGCACGAACTTCCGAAAGTCACGTTTGTGCCGTGTTTGCCTCTTCGAGAGGAGCCTGCTTGCATTGACCGAAGAGGAGGCGACATGTGCCGATAGAGTGGGTATTGCGGCTCAAGCGGCGCGCGCGATATGGGGCTATATTCTGGTGCAGCTCCCTCTCTGTTGGGGCCGAACTGGCGCGGACGTATCTGGCAAACGACAGAGCAGTCGGCATTTGGGCCGAGCCAGATCGACTCACCCCTTTGTACGCATCCTGGCTTGAGCAACGCAGGGAAGCCCAAACGAACCGAGCCGAACGGGATCGGCCGATCTGCAAGTCCTGGGGGGCGAGCGGGGAGGCCGAAGTCGATCGAGGGCGAGAGGCGGAGGAGCAGGGCCATCGGACTTCCGCCACGGGCGGGCGCGCCCAGCGGCCTGCGCAGAAAAAAGGGCCACCGGAGCCCCACGGCCGAGGCGAGTCGCAGGGACGCGGGGGCAACCTGCCACCGCTCGGAGGTCCATGCCCCGGGCAGTGCTCGGCTCCGTGCGTCAATTCTTTCGCAAGGTGATCCAGGATGCTCCTGGATGGTCTTAGCAGCGGTGCATGGCCCCGGGGCGCCCACGCTGCGGCAACTGCACCGGCGCGCTGCCGAATACTGGAGACGCGAGGGCGCCTTTTTCTACCGTTCCAACCAAAACGTACGAAATGATAATTATGGGCATGAGGGAAGGGACGATGGCGCCAAACCAACTCGTACACGACTGCCTTCAGCTCGGTCCATCAGGCTGTGGACGCAAGAGCGACCCTGGCGAGATCCGTCTTTCCCGAATGGGCAAGGGTGCAAAGGGTATCCTTGGCAAGCCGACATGGCCTTCTGGCGGCACCGACTGCAACACAACGGACTGCAGTCGGGCATTTTTGCTTAGCGCGTCGCTGCGGCGGCCTTGGCGACACGCTATGCCATGCAAGCGGACAGCGCGTCGCTCCGTTCCACGGGGCGTGACGCTCGGCAAGGATCGGGACGTTGACGCTCGGGGAGTGGCACGTGGACGGCGTGTCGCGCCGAAGCGTGGCGGGCCGGAACCAGCGGCGCAACACTACCCCTAAAGTTCCCGACCGTATTCACCCGCAGCCCCCGCCTCTGCTGCAGCCGCCGCATGAGCATGCGCCTCCTGTCAGCAGTGTCCCCCCAGGCTGCCGCGTCCTGGGCACCCTGGCCGTCGACGGTGCTGCGGCGGTCAGGTGTTGCGTGCCTCTCGGGAGGGGCTCGTGGCATGCGTCGCCGTGACGTCGCTGGGAGGTGTTGGCCACCTCCTCTGGACGTGCTCCTGCTCCTCCTCCAGAAGTCTGCAGAGGTCCCCAGAACTCCCCGAAAACAGAACAATTGTCAACATGATCGACCCACGAACCCGGAAAAGGAGGCCCTCAAGACGGCACTATTTTTTCTGCGTGGTCCGCCCGGCGGAAAGGCGAGCTCAAGTTGCGAGCAAGAGGGCCGCCACACTGACGACATCTGAGCAATGAAACGAGACCGACGGTTCCGCACAGCCCCTCATGGAGAAGGAGAGAGCGAGGGAGGGAGGGAGGGAGAGCTTGAACCAGAAACCGAATTATGGCACATTCGTTAGCTGGCACTTGCTTCTACTTTGGAAAGAAGACAGCTCCGCCATCACCCCCGCGTGCCAGGAAAAGGGGGCCCTCAAGACGGCGCCATTTTTTCTGCGTGGTCCACCCGGCGGAACGGCGAGCTCAAGCTGCGAGCAGGAGAGCCGCCGCACTGACGAGACCTGAGCAATGAAACGAGACCGACGGTTTCGCGCAGCCCGAGCCCGAGAGGTGGAACTGGCCGCCAGGCCGAACAAATATCAACTATGCAACAACTCCCAAAATGTCAGCCTGCAGGTGGAAATCTGCAGGCTTCGTCCTCAATGCCCAGGACAGCTTCTTTAGGCCACGGTTGTTCTCAGCCACAAGGCGGATGGTTCGCGCAAGCGTTCTGGATAACCCCTTTCGGAAAACAGGCGGCAACTGACGTGCGCTTTTTCCCAGTGGCAGGGTCAACGCCTTCAAGTACGAGATGAGGCTTGCACATCTCGGAACACAATCCTTTACGTCCTGGGCACCGCTGGTGCAGACAAGCGTGGAAACCAGCCCCCCACATAGCTATTATCTGGTTCTCTTCCTCCAGAGGGGCCCCAAAGCGACGCGCGTCGAGAACGTGCGCGTGACACTCGGGAAGGTCGAAAAGAGGAACCAAAAGGGGAGCAGGCTACATGGCGGAAGAAGCGGGGTTCTCGAGGTGCACGCGGATCCCCAATCGGACGCAAGTTCTGATCACATTCACGGAAAGCTTGAAGGTGTCGCTTCCGACCTGGGGCCTAGCGAGCTCTGACTCGTCGACGCCCTGGAGGCCCACGGGGGCCTGGATGCTCGCGCGAGGTTTCTGAAGGGCCCGAGGCCAAGTAGCGCGCGGAGTGCCGAGCCAGCCCCCTACAATGACCCGCCCCTGAAGCCGCCCGCGGTCAATGCTCCAGAAGGCCGTGCCCCGGTGGCCCTCCAGAGCCCCATTCCCAATATCCAATGGCAGACGCGCGTATCCAGCTGCTCTAAGGGCCTGGCCCAGTGGGGCCGATCCAGCGAACAACTCCAGGAAGGCGAAGCGACGCGCGTGAATGGCCCGCCGCAGCTGCGAGGCAAGGGCGCGCTTGAGGTACTGCGTCGCCGCGTGGCTCCCGGCAGCGGCCCCGCTCGAGCCGGCGGCGGCGCGGGCAGCCCGCGCGCCGCCGCCGCCGCCACCTGGGGCAGACGCGGGGCCCCCAGCAGCCCCATTGCCGCTGCGCCGGAGCTCCGATAGGGAGTTCAGCGCGAAGTTGCCGTTGACGAAAACCTCCGGCGCAACCGACCTCAGGGCGCCGAGGAGCCGAGCGTCCGCGGCGTGCCTTTTCACCGACGCGAAGGTGGGCCACCGTCCGCGGAGGCGCACTTGCTCGGCTGAGCGACGGCCGAGAGTCAGGTCCTCCGAGGCCCCCCCGCGGCGCGGCTGGCAGTGGCGCGGGCCCGGCGGGCCGAGGCCCATCGCCGCGGCGGCACCGATGAATGCCCTGCGGTGCTCTCTACGAAGCCCATATCCATGATGAGGTCGTCGGGCCCCAGCGTCGCGCGGGCGCAGGCCAGCGCGGGGCGCGGCCAGGCGCCCAGGTCGACGACCACGGCGTCGTCGCGAGCGCCTGTCTTCCCCGCCCGCAGGAGCGCTGGGTCGTGCAGCAGGATTGACCACTTGGATACTGGTAGGCTGGCCCCGCTATCCCCGCGGGGGCGACGAGGTGGCGCGCGCGCGCGCCTGCGTCGCCTCCCGCGGCCCCAAGTAGCGCGTGGGCGACCGCGGTCAGCGGGGCCGCGCGCGGGAAGCCGCGGTGGATCAGCTGGCCGACGATCGCGCCCACGGCCGCCCGAGGCATCGGCGGTCGCGCGAATGGGGGGCGCGGCGCCTCCAGCCCAGCGCCGCCCGCGAAGCCCGCGGCAGCGCGGTGGCCCCCGAGCGCCCCGGGCCCAGCGGGAATTGCGCCAGGGCGGCCAACGCGCCGCCCCCGACGTCCGGCCCCAGCCCCTCCAGGCACAGGCCGTACTCGACCGGGAGGCCGTCGAGGGTGGGCCAGTCGCTCCAGTCCAGCGCCAGCGCCACACAGTGGTCCAGGAACCGCCACAGCAGCGAGCGGCACAGGACCTCCGCGGAGGGGCGGATGGCCGGCCGTTCCAAGGACGAAAGCCCGCCAAGCGGGGGCCGCCCCTTCCCTGCCGCCGAGGCCGCTGACGCCCTGAAAATCCCGAGCAAAGTTGGTGTTGGTATGTTCCCAGAGCGGCTCGCGGCCTGCAGCCGCCCAGACCCCGGGCGGGCTCGAGGCGTCAACTGCCGGCCGCGCGAGGGGCTGGCCGGGCAAGGGCAGCCTAGGCGGGCCCCCCAAACGGGGGGCCTGGCGAGCCGAAAAGGGCGACGAGGGATAGCGTCTGACAGCGCGGAAACCAATGAACCAGCCGAACTTCCGCGGGGCGGATCATCGCTGACATTCCTTTCGGTGGGGGCCCACCTCGCAACAAAGCGACATCCAGTGACCAAAGATAGACGCGCGAGCTTGGCGATGCACGGCTTGAGGAACTTCGATCTGGAACGTCCCTGGGCCACCCCAAGAAGGAGTGGAAGGTCATCGAGAATGAAAAGGAGACGGCGACCGAGGGCGCGCTGACTGCGGAAGGCATGACGTACCGCACAGACCAAAGTTCCCCCTTCGAAGGCCAGGGTGTCGGCACTGGAGAAACGCGGCAGGCCGCAATGTGGGCCCAGCTTTCAAGGTCCATGAACTGCTCGGGGAAACCGCGAGCCACCTCCTCCAGGCAAACGGGGCCGCCATCGCGGACAGCGTCGCCACCTGGAGCGGGCGGGGGTCATCGCGAAGGCCAAGAGGAGCAGGCGAGAGGGCATGCGCGGCTTTCCGAGGACGACAGTGCTCTTCCACCATGCATCTCCAGCGCTCGCTCGGACGTCCAATCGCGCTGGCTTCCAGCGGGGAGATGCGCCGAACAGAAGCGCCGAGGCCAGCGGGCGAGGCGTCCGACGCGCGCGCCTGGTCGCGCCACTCGGACCCCTAATCCACTGTTTTGAAAAGGGGGGGGGGGGGGGGGCGCATCGCAGTCTCCGCAGTTCCTTGCGAACGCCAGGCCAGGGGTAGGCGACGTCGCTGCGGTTTTTCTCGATGTGGGCGTAGACAGCATCCAAAAACTCACGGCCTCCCTCCGAATTAAAGCTGCCCAAGTAACATGCCAGATCACGGCGTGGAAAAAAAAACCCGGTGGCGCGACCGCGCCGGGGATCTCCTCCACGGCAGGCCGCAGCCTCCAGGCCGCGCCGTCGGATAGAAAGCCTCCGTTCCGAATTGAGCTCCAGATAGCTCCAGCCCCAGGACAGACGCGTCTTTCGAGGCGGACTCCAGCTCATTAGCAATGCGGCCCCTGCTTTCGAGGGAGGAGCGAATTCGGGGCACCGTCGCGTTCGCGGCGTCGGGGCGCCGGCCGAAAACGACAAAGCTGCCGACGCGCCCAGCGACGCGCGCCCCCGTGAAATCGTCGCGCGGGGAGGCCGGGCTGCCGTCCACGACTAGGTTCGACCGCTCGATGCCGGTGTTGCCCAAGGCATTCAGCAGCGCGGACTGGGCGATGTGCGTGGCCCAACTCCACCCCATGGGCAGGATAGCGAGGGCTGTTTGCAGCGCGGTCCCTGGGCCCACCTTGCGGCCTTCTACCTCCGTGAGCCCAGCAACTCCAGCAAAGAAGGGGGGGGGGAGGGGCAGAGATGTCCTGAAGCTCTGCCGGCTGGGCCACTCGACGGGAACAGTTGTCAATGTCACCCGGCCCCGCAAAAACGCCCGAACCCTGAGACTCGAAAGACCCCGAGGCAGCGGCGGCGGGGAGGCGGGCGGCAGGATGGGGCCTCAAACAAAAGTTGCAACGCAGGTGTCGAACATGAGCCTGCGTTGGCCCGACTTTTCCCCGGCGAAGAACATGCCGACCTTACTGCGGCGGCCCGTGGCAAGCTTCGTGGCGGCCATCTCCCGGTCGACCGACCCACGGACGAAGGCGGCATATCGAGCGGGGGACCAGCTTAGAAGCGGATCCACGCACGGCCCCATAGGACGGGCTTCTCGAATCAAATTCCGATCCTCATCAGAGGGCCTTAGCAAGTTCACCTGGGCACGGCCGATCCATTCAGAGTCGCCAGGGCTGAGGAGCTCACTCAATGGAACTCGGCGGGTGCCCTCGACTGGCCAGGAAACGAGGTCCAGGGAAAACGGTCGCCTAGCGGTTCCAGCAGAGACGTACAAACCACTAGCGGCGCAGAGTTCATTGAGGGCTCCCGCGCATGAAGAGAAGTCAGCGGGCTGATGGCCGACCTCGCAAAACTGCTTACCCACGCGATCGAGGGCCCTCCTCTGGTGAGAAGTAGGGTTCCAACTGCAAGAGGCCGGCCCAAAACCGTGAGCACTGTTAAGACAAGAGATAGCGTCGTTGGTCCAATCCACAGCATAGACCTGCGATGGCGTCGGAATACGCTCCTACTCGCGAGAATGGCGTCACGGACAGGCCCGGAGGAGGAGGGAAGCAAGGTGGGGGGAGAGATGTCTCTGGCACGAACAGAGGCAGCGCCATCAGGTATCATGCCCAACCGTGGCGCATCGATCGGAGAAGGCTCAATCATGTGCCC